AAAGCACATGAGAGTCATCTCTTCTTCCTCCTTTGCCAGAATTATTTACATAGAAGCATCCAAATGAAGCTTCGGCCTGCGCTGCAGCTCACTAGACTAATCCTCTGCCTGCGGCGCCAGCACTCTGGGTTCTAGTCCCGGTTGGGGCACCAGTTCTGTCCTGGTTGCTCCTTTTCCAGTCCAGCTCTCTACTGTGGCCCAGGAGTGTAGTGGAGGATGGCCCAAGTGCTTGGGCCCTGCACCCCATGGGAGACCAGGAGGAAGCACCTGGCTCCTGGCTTCGGATTGGCGCAGTGCGCCCGTCGTAACAGCCATTTAAAAGGGAGTGAAACAACGGAAGGAAGACCTTTCTCTCTCTCTCTCTCATTCTTGAGGCTTAGGGCCAATCAATAAATATGAAGAAAGATGACAACATCCCCAAAAGTTACCTCTGTCATTTTCACAAAAGCTGAACAATCGCTCACTACATTTCGATGAGTGATCAGCGCTCCTTTGGGGTTGCCTGCAGAGCACAGAGGAAGCAGAACATAGTTAAAGAGATCCATGGGGGGATGGCAGAAATTGAGCAAGCCAAGAAACCCTGCAGAATTCGGACCTCACACTCCTCTACTGCTCGATGTGCCCACAGAGTAACTTAAATCTCTGAGCCACCTGCAAAGCTTTCAATGAAACTAAGTACCTTATAATAATCATAGGCAATCTTTGCTAATATGGGCCCATTTTAGAGGGAATGTGGAGTAGCAAGAGAAGAAAAATCAGGACTTTTATTCCTGGAAGCCATAGAGGGCCCTAGCAAGATGGGTGAGACGGAAGTCACCATTAATAAACGTGTGAGGCACTCGATGATTAAGAACTCACGAACACTCGGGCCCTGAGACTGTCCGCGAGTGTGTGAGAGGACAGTGCTTGAGGTGCCTCCTCCTCTTCTCGTTCATTCCTTCCGTAGTTAACTCATAAGTGATCCGGGAAAACAGAGGGCAGGGAGCGCACAATTTCACACACGGCGTAGAAGCAATTTCATTTCAAAACTGACCTGTGGTTCCACTTGTGAAACAAATTACTGCAAGATCTTCCGGTGCTGGAGGCTAAAGATTTAAACAGAACAAACAAAAGCTGGCATAAATCGGACCAGAAAATGACCAGGGTTGAGTTATCACCCCAGACTGCTGCCAGTCCCCGACTGACCGCCTAGGGGAAGCCGCAGAGGGGGCTGGGCTGGGGCTGGATCGAGTGCCGCAGGCTTACCTTGGGCTTCCTCCTGTTGGCTCTTCCCAGGTTCTAAAATAGAAGAGAAAAAGAGAATTCTTAAGTGGGAACACCGTCTAACTGTAAAGTCGGGTCACGGCAAATCACAGAAGCGGCTTCCTGCGGGGTTCAGTCGCCGCTGCTCAGTCAGCCTAATTTCGGGTCAGTGAACGATGGCGATCTGCATTAGCCAGAGTCAAAATTCTGCTGGCTCCTCTCTCCTATAAAATCATGGCAACGTGAGCTCTACCACCGATCTTTGAAATGGGGTTTATTCAAAGACAGCAATCAAGCTCTGTGGTGGCTCACTTCTCCTCCCAGCCTACTCTAACAAAGTCCCGCGATACCGACAAACAACGAGCTCTGCGCCCTCCTCCGATCAGAGCGCAGCACCATCGGCGCACGCAGCTCTGCGTCTGCTGTCTTCCGCCTGGGGAGAATATGTCTCCTCCAGATTGGAGTACTTACTTGAGCCATTTTGCAGAGGCTCAAGTAACTGTGTTCGGGACGTGGAGTAAGGAAGGATCTGGGGGCCTTCATGAACAAAACCGGCCGCAAGAAAAGCTCTAAGACTGCTTCTCGAGTGGACACACAGGTCACAGATGGTGGCTTCATTTCCCAGCGGCAGGCTCGCAGCTAGGGCCACTTGGTGTGGCTCAGCTTACTACATTAAGGCAGGCAGGTGGCCGCCTCACTATCTATTAACTTTGTAAAATGAACCATTCATATTCTTTTCCTATTAAAATTGAGCAGCTTGAGTGAGCATATGGAGTGAACATGTCTAATATTAAATGGAAATTAGATGGGTGTGCTCAGGGCTCAGTGAGTTTCTGCCCAGCAGTTTTAAACCTTAATCACATTTTAAATTACATGTATAACAGTCCACTGATTAAAAACAGGAACACTGGTATCTAATTAGATGTCACTCAGGAGCTAACCCAATGATAATTCTGTGATTTTTTTCCAAAATAATCTTTATTGGCTCCAAATGTTTATTCATCATTCTTACATAACTTCTAAAGATGTCCAGTTTTTCAAATATTGACATCAAATAAAATAAAGATTGCATGCAATTCAGCTTTTGACTTATTGAGGACAAGTCTTACCCAAACTAGCACACAATTTGCCATGAAAGTTTCATGGTCTTAAATCTGTCTTGTTATCATTTAGAAAAAAATATAGTGAAAATTGAGAACAGCATATGCGGAACGACAGAGCACCTTGCTGAGTGGTCACTCTAATAAACATACTTTCCCCTTGCATCAAAAAAAAAAAAAATCTATGTATGTATATATGCAGAGAGAGAACCATTACAAAAAAAAGTTGCTATTTTTCAGGTTAAAAAAAAAAAACCAAAAAGACAACCTCATAGGTAAAAACTGAATTCTAGTTAATGATAAGCATACCGAAGTATTTAGGGGTAAAGAAATCTGTAACTTGGGGCTGGCACTGTGGTGTAGCTGGTAAAGCCTGCAGTGCCAGCATCCCATTAAAAGCGCTGGTTCGAGTCCTAGCTGCTCCACTTCTGATCCAGCTCTCTGCTATGGTCTGGGAAAGCAGTAGAAGATGGCCAAGTCTTTGGGCCCCTGCACCCACATGGGAGTCTGGGAGGAAGCTCCTGGCTCCTGGCTTCGGATTGGTGCAGCTCTGGCCGTTGCGGCCAACTAGGGAGTGAACCAGTGGATGGAAGACCCCTCTCTCTCTCTCTCTCTCTCTCTCTCTCTTTCCTTCTCTAACTCTGACTTTCAAATAAAATAAATAACTTTTTTTTAAAAAAAGAAATATGTAACTTATTAAAATGCATCAAAAAATAAGATTGATGAATGAACAGTGGGGCGGAATGATAGATTAAATGTAATAAAGCAAATATATTAATATGTTATTTATAGGTTTTTAATGCTGTGTGACTATTTATTGTCTAGTTATTTCAGATGGTTCTGGCTCATATATTTGAAATGCAAATGTTCCAAAGACTAATGTTTCCATTCTTGATCCTTTCAAACTATATATCAATAAAAACTTGACCACAAGATCAATCATAAGGCTAATTTTACATTAATATCTTTAAATCTTCATCTTTTGCTTACCAAATTTTAAATAAACATGAATTGCACAAGCAAGGGTAAAATACAATCTTCAGTCACTCATCTAAATAATTTGGCTTTTTTTTTTGATAGGCAGAGTGGACAGAGAGAGAGAGACAGAGAGAAAGGTCTTCCTTTGCTGTTGGTTCACCCTCCAATGGCCACTGCGGCCGGCTTTAAAATTACTTCTTTATCATAATATAGTCAAAAAAGACGAGGAAAAATTCCTTTGTGTGTGTGTTTTAGAGAGGGGAGAGAAGAGAAGGTAAAGATAAGAGATTACATTATTCTAAAAGGGGATTACAAGTAAAACAAAGTAAAAAAAATGCCAGGTAAAAGTTGGCTAAAATCCCGTTGTAACCATGAAGCACACCCAGTAATGCTTATGGGACCATGGTGTGTGTGTGTGTATGTGTGTGCAGATGCATGTGACAGAAGGCTCTGTGAGAATGTGACAGCTCTGATTACCAGGTCCTCCAAGTAAACTTCCCCAAATCCTTCCAGCAATTTCAAGTTCTTTGTGGGAGATCATAAACACAATGTGAAAACCATGTTTGTGACGCTTTCAGAAAACTATTGCAGCACCTTCGCAAAGAGGACTACTCTCTTTAGCTGCTCACGTCCTGGGATGTGTTTATAAGAAAGATTCTCCTCATGCCAGCTTCCTGAGATGGGACTCTAATTAAGTGCCTCTGTGGGAACAGCTTCACTGTGATTTGACATCAAGCAGCCAACTGAAACATGGGCCACATTCATGCCCCAGCATGGTCACAGCTGTTCATTCATGTGAAGTTGAATAAATTTAGTATGCAGATGAACCAAATCAAAGGTGGCTGCAGAGGATTCACCAGCACTCTACCAAAGCAGCCTGTTTTAGAGAGACAAGTAAGAAAAGCCATGGAGGCCTAAGGCGGACATAAAACCTAAATTTCCACCTGCCTAAAGCTAGCACCACATTCCTCGCGTTTACAGCCATGGCTGCTCTGACTTCGGAGACACAGGTGAGTGCTGCAACGCTCTTTAGAGCAGAGCTTCTGTCACATGGGCCGCATGTACAGTGAGCACGCAGGCCGGATTCCGCTTTCCAGAAATGAGACAGGAATTGCTGCTCTTTATCTTTCACGGGTTGTTAGGACAACCAGCCAGGGCTGGGGTTGTGTGGTGGCACTGGCCATTTGCGCCAAGATGACCTCAGGGAAACCCTCCAGGGAAGCAGGCAGCACTGACTCACCTCCATGGCTTTCATGCTGATGATCTCCACCCCACACTTCTTGCCTCGCTCCACCAGGTCACTGCCGTAGGAGTCCATGACAACCACGACTTTGAGGCCTGGCGTTAACTTATTTTCTACACCCTCCAACAACAGATTGGCTTTCTCCGGCTTGTCAACAAAAATCAGAGAGAGTTCAGCTGTAAATGAAGAGAGACAGGGAGGAATAAGTTAAAAGGTTGCCTCCGTAATATCTGACACAAAAAAAGATATGTTATGTACTGCATTCTGTAACAGAAAGGGAGCTGTGCACTTAGACATGAAATCTGTCACATCGCAGTCAGCTGGCCCTATCTGAGGGTTCTGGTCTGTGGATTCAACCAACTGTGGACTGAACACATCTGGAAAACAACTGTGCCTATACTGAACAGGTACAGACCTCTTCTCCACTGTCATTCCCCAAACAGTACAGTGTAAACAACTATTTACATGGCATTTATACTGAAGGAGGCATTATAAGTAGTACAGAGATGTTTTAAAACATAGGCCAGGATGTGCACAGGCTACATTGCAAACACTTTGCCATTATGTAAGGGACTTGAGCATCCGGGGATTTGGGCATTTGTGGGGGTCCAGGAACCAATCTCCTCAACCCCATCCCGCAACCAGTGTCGACCAAATGAGCAGATGTAGTCCCTGAATCTGCCTAATACCTGGGCCAATGTCCACCAAAGACTACAGCCATACCTTTGTTGACGATGTACGTGATCGCTTCAGTTCCAAGGGTATCATAAAGTGGAACGATGACCATGGAGTAAGTGAAGCATCCCTGTTCAATAATCACCCACTAAACAGATAGCAAAGGTCAGGGAGAGAAAATAAGAAGTCAATGTGGACTCGCTCCAAGGACGGCAACACTCACAGGCGCAAAGCGAAAACATCTGAGCTCATAAAATGAACATCTGTGTCCCTCAGGCTCGGCACTGGCTGCCATGGATTCACAAAGAGAACAAACACAAGGCTGCTTGCTGAGAAGAAATCACAACCTGGGCTGGTGCTGTGGCATGGGAGGTTAAGCCTCCACCTGCAATGCCGGCATCCCGGGTGGGTGCCCATTCAAGACCCGGTTGCTCTTCTGATCCAGCTCCCTGCTAATGCACCTGCGAAAGTAGTGGAAGATGGCCCAAGTGCTTGGGCCCCTGCACCAGCTTGGGAGACCTGGAAGAAGCTCCTGGCTCCTCGATCCAGCCCTGGCTGCCACAGCCATTTGTAACACTGCCTTTCAAGTAAATAAAAAACAAATCTTGGGCAGGCACCATGGCTCACTTGGCTAATCTTCCACCTGCGGCGCCGGCATCCCATATGGGCACCGGATTCTAGTCCGGGTTGCTCCTCTTCCAGTCCAACTTTCTGCTGTGGCCCGGAAGGGCAGCGGAGGATGGCCCAAGTCCTTAGGCCCTGCACCCGCATGGGAGACCAGGAGAAGCACCTGGCTCTTGGCTTTGGATCACTGCAGCGCGCCGTAGCGGCCACTTGGGGGGTGAACCGATGGAAAATGAAAGACCTTTCTCTCTGTCTCTCTCTCTCTGTAACTCCACCTGTCTAATAAAAATAAATAAATAAATAAAATCTTAAGGGGAAAAAAAAAAAAAGAAATCACAGCCTTCCAAAGAACTGAGGCAAATATGTGAAGATCTCACTAATTGATTCACGCTCCTGGCCGACCCTGAGGTGGGAAAGTCCACTGTGGGCCTAGGTGGCTGTGGGTACTGATGCAGACCGGTGCCGTGGCTGGGGAGACAGCAGGAGGGGATGGCGGGAGGAGAGAGGCAAGGAGCTCCCCACAAAGGGGACTTCATGAGCAAAGGCAAGGAGGAGGGCGTGGGGGCTGAGAGGGCCAGAGAGGCAGGTTGAGTGAGCCTGTGGCTGCAGAGCCCACAGGCAATGCAGAGCCACAGAGGGCTTGGAGGCATAACAGGGGCTGGGATTTGAGGAAGATCAACCTGGCAGCAGCTAAAGTCTGGCCCAGGGATAGGGCAAGGAGCCACAGACTAGTCTAGCAGGAAAACGGTTTCCACAGACTCCCCCCGGGGAAGTAACTGGTCGCCCTGCCTCTAAGCCCGTGGGCCACGCAGCCAAGGCCCGGAGGATGAGCCTACTCATCACTCACAGTCCCCGGGAGCTCCGCATTACCTCCACCCACTCCTTAGAGGGACTCATTTGCAGCCCTGGGGTGCAGCACAGATGTGGGCCTGGCAGCTGTGGCAAGGCAGGACGGCACTCACCCTCGCCTGGCCTGGGACTGAGTTCCTGTGCTCTTGTATTTGGCCGTGGGACAGATCTCACATTATCAAGATGAAGGTCAGGTCCAGCTTCCTTAGCAGGGCACGCTCTCCTTCTCTGCCTCCCCCGCCACATTGAAATGCTTCATTCCCTGACACCTACGTGTTGTTTGATACAAACACGCAGCTGCTCCTCGCATTCCCTTGCCCCCAGTGTGTATTTTCTTCAAGACTTTACTCAGGCACCACTTCCAGGAAGCTCTCCTTGACTGAGCTCCCATAATTCTGCCCTAGGCCCACAGCATACTACAGAGCAGGTGTCAGCTTTTGGGCCTGGCCTTCCTTCCTTAGACCTTAGGAAGGGGATGCTTTGGAGCCTTGCACAGTAGCGTGCATACATTAGGTGCCTGATAAATAGTTGTTGAACTAACTTGTACATATAGGAAGGAGTCTATCCTTGAAGGAAGGAATAGGTTTTGTAGTTATAGATTTGTGATAAAATTCCACTACATTATCTTGGATGTGTTCATTTGCAAAGAAAGAAAGAAACTAGATTCCATGAGCCTAGACATGGAATAGTCCAGCTGTGGAGGATACTGTTTTCTGCTTAGCAAAACAAAACTCTAGGAAGCCATCATAATTTATAAAACAGTACGTGGCAAAGGGATTGAGCTAACATGTCTAGGGGCACCAGTAGGTATCAGGACACCCTGGATTTCTTTAAGCCAGGTGCTTGAGTTTTTCCAAGCCAGCTCTGCCACTAAACCGTCAAGTAAGCGCAGTTGCAGTGCCTCCGAAAGAGCTCTGCATTTAAACCGACCTTCACCCCGTGGTTTACAGAAGCTCTGTGCCTGAGCCCACAGCCAAACTCTGCACCACGTGTCTAAAGGCAGGCCAGGTCGCTGCGGGCCACTTCCCCCAAGGCCCAAGCTGGTTTAAGCCTGGCAGCCAGTGGAGGGAAAGCCTCAGATCTTTCAGAAATAAAACACGAGAGTCTGCCATCATAAATACATATTGAAGATTCTCTGTCACTTATATGTGCTATTTTTCTAACCACAGAGCTAGCCTTTAAAGTGAGAAGAGTCCCTTGTTTGCTAGCCTAAGAATTTTGCTGGAGATCTGGGCTTAAAAACCAAAAACAATTTTTTACAGTTTTTTTTTTCCCTTCTTAAAGGTTTGGGAGGCTCTGGTCTAGGTTTTTTGTGTGTGTAACTTTCTAAGCGGAGTAACACAAAGTCACATTCCCAGGAGAAACCAGACTAGGAACCCTCGTCTCGAGCAGAAGCAGGCGTGAACTCGGGTGAGCTCCGACATTCGCGAAGCCTGAGCAGCAAGCAGAGGAAGCGCCTGGTGTCAGCACCTCGGGTCTGTTCTGAGCAAAGATGCCGATGAACTGATCGGGCGCGGCCTTGAAGCCCTTCTGCAGCAGCGCTGAGCCGATGCACTCCGACAAGTCGGCCACCTGGGGCGGGAGGAAGGGGCAGAGTCAGACTCGGCATCAGGAACACGGCTGACCAGGGATGGAGCGGCACCTTAGCCAGAGGACAAGCTGCCCAGACACCCCTCCTTGTCAAGTGTCTGGGAAACGCACGGTTTCCTTCTCTGGAACTCGCTATGAAGAGAACTGACCTAGGGCTCCTCCACGAAGGAAATGCATCTCCTGCCGACAGCTGCTGTCACACGCGATTATGTCAGGGCTGTGGCACATTTATGCTCTTCTGTTGCATTTGATAAAATTATAAATACAAATACACTGATTTTTTGAGGGGTGGGGAGGGTAAAGCATTTATATAAAACAACAAAGCAGCCCAAACCTATAATTGAAACCCAGAAGCCGTAAATTTGTAGACCTTTAAAACACAGCAAACTCCTATGAGGCCATACAATTCCACTTTTGAGAATTTATTCTCAGGAAAAATTTCAATCTTGGAAGGAGGTTTTTAAAAAGTCTATGTACAAAGATGCATATTTCAAAATTATCTAAATTCAATAACCTCCGGTCGGGGGGGCAGGGGACAGTGGCTGGATAGTTATAGCTGGTAAATATTATGGTTACAAAAATCATTTCACATGGGGTAGAATCATTAATAATAACATGAGAAAAATTTAAATGCATCTTATTGTAACAATAAATAAAAATAGGTAAATTTACAAAAATTAGGCCTTGAGTATACACTCATGGTCACCTTCTTGCTCCTCTTATTCTAAATTAACTAAAAGAAATTTAAGTCTTACAATTCGAAGCTTTTTTAAACTCTGAGCTGGTAGAGTTTTCAGGAGCACTGTCAAGGCACACCATGCCTACAGCATTCCCTGGCCCGGAATCCTGTTGGTTCTGGCAAGTGGTGCCACCCCAGCCCTGCCTATCGGGTCACATCAACACTGGTAACGTGACAGCTGAGTTGAGTGCCTACTACTCCAAGGACTCATTCACAGCTCTTTGACTGCGTTTAAGGGAGTGGAACCTAAAAAATGCCTGCAATTATCTGTATACATTATTGGAGTAATATGCAAACATTTACATTTCTAGAAAGACAGTCTATACCTTTCTTATAAAATATCTCAGGAACTGACATTGTGGTGCAGCAGATTTGAGTCCTGGCTGCTTAGCTTCCAACCCAGCTCCCTGCTACTGCAGTGGGGAGAGTAGTGAATGATGCTCCAAGCGCTTGGGCTCCCGCACCCACGTGGAAGAACTGGATGGAGTTCCAGGTTCCTGGCTTCAGCCTGGCCCAATCCTGGCCACTGCAGCCATTTGGGGAGGGAAGCAGACGACGGGAGATCTGTCTCTGCCTTTCTCTCTTCGTCACATTGCCTTTCAAATAAATAAATCTTTAAAAAATTTGTTTTAAAGATCTCAAAGGTATTCATAGCCACTAAGATCAGATTCACTGGGTGAAAAATGATTTAATTGTACAAATTGAAAGTTTGTTTCAGGTAAGGCCAGTTCTATCTGCACCAGCTTCTGAGTGCAATGTACAAATCAGAGTAACCCCTTCAGAAACCACAGTGGTTTTCAATTTGCCTTGACAAATCCAGCGTGCAGTGGGTGCGTTTTCTCTCTTCCTGCCAGTACATTTAACAGAAAGAATCCAAAAGGCACCGAGGACTCTGTGAGGCCTCGAGCAGTGTCATGTCTGCAGCACACACTCACACACACACACACACACACACACACTCTCTCTCTAGACACCATTTGGGAAAATGAGGACCCTGGAAATGACTGTCAGGTTGGGAAACTATTAGGCTCTGGTAAGGCAAAATAAAGGCAGGGAACGCCTCAGGTCACCCGGGCCACAGCTCCTCACTCCTTCCTCAGCAAGGCATGGTAGCTGCTCCACCTCTCCGTGCTCTTGACGAGACACATGCTACCCAGGTGGGAGGCCTTCTGCCTTCTGTGGACTTCAGACGAGGGCAGGGAAGAAATCACATTTTAATTTCAGAAGAACCAACAAATGGTATGCCAAGGGAGTACGTCAATGGCTCCACACGGTAGCTCTGCTCACATAAACACTCCCAAGTGCAACAAAGTCACAAAAATACAGAGCAACGCCTTCCTGCTCTGCTACCTGCAGTTGAGCCATTGGTAGTGGGGACTGGAGAGCAACAGGAGTGAAAGCAGCCACACCCCAGCTTCCTTTGTCTCTGCACAGTCCCACAGGTGGCTCCTCTACTGTCGCTCTGGAGTTAGGCGTCACAGCAGTGGTGAGACGGGCAAGGACTGCTTGAGCAGCAGCGCGATGCACTGGAGAAATCCACACGCAATGCTGCAGGGGCCGGCACTGTGGGGCAGCAGGGTAAGCTGCTGCTTGCAGCACCTGCAACCCACAAGGCTGCCAGTTTGAGGACCGGCCACCCCGCTTCTGACCCAGCTCCCTGCAAAAGCCTGGAAAAGCAGCGGAGGGTGGCCCAAGTGCTTGGACCCCATGTGGGAGATCCAGAGGAAGCTCCTGGCTCCGGCCTGGCCCTGCCCTGGCTGTTGCAACCATTTCGGGAGTGAACCAGAGGATGGAGGTTCTCTCTCTCTGTCTTTCGTTTATGCGATGAGAGGGATACTCTACGCTGGGGCTTCTAAGGCCTCCTAGCACAACACAGGCAGAGTGGGGGGTGTCCCATCCTCTCAGCTGGGTTCCAGAACAGGATTCACCTGCTTCAAGCACTTTCTAGAATTTCATCTTACAAACTGTGAGCCACCGAATCCACACCAGTTTTAAACCACCAGTTATATTACTTAACTGGATTACCCCAAACCTCTGTGTCAAGTTTCTCCAGCTGGGTGTTCCCTGTTGGTCCAGAAGCTCTGAGCTAGTCCAGCACTAGGCCCTGAGGGCTCCCAGCAGGAACACACAGAAGCACTGCAGCCGTGGGAGTCGTCCACAGGGCTGGGAAACTCACCTGTTTGTAGGAAAGCCACTCATAGGGTTGGTCTGGCTTCCGAGAGCCTAAACAAGGGCCATCATCTACAAAACAGAAACAACAATGATAAAACAAAGGATGGGCTTCGCTTCGATCAGTACTCCCAGAGTTTAATCCCACCACTGTTCACAGAAAGCCAGGCAGACCCCACTCCACTCCTCTCCACTCCAGAAATGCTGAGTCCGATTACAGGGTTTTTCTCCCCGGGTTTTGGTCTAATTTTTGCTTGCCTGTTTATCTCTGTTTTATTTCTTAAGCGGGGCAGGAGAGGGGATAAGGAGAGGTGAGACAGCAAACACAAAACTATTGGCTTAGGCCGGGAGTCAGTAGTGAGGGGCAGAAATCTGCTGCTGGGGGCTTTCAGAAGAGGTGTGCCTCAACGTTTCCAAAGAAGTTTAAAGCGTTCTAACTCAGGTAGGCTTCTGGCCTGGAGGTTAAGGTGCCCGTGTCCCTTATCAGACTGCCTGAGTTTCAGTCCCAGCTCCACGTCCAATTCTAGCTTCCTGCTAATGAGCCCTGGGAGGCAGTGGTGATAATTCAAGTCGGTGCATCCCTGCCACCCATGTCAGGAGTTCCGAATCGGCCCCTGGCTCCTGGCTTCAGCCTGGTCCAGCCCCAGGTGTTGCAGGTATTTGGGGAGTTCTCTCTCATTCACACTCTCTCTGTCTTTTAGATAACTTTTAAGCACATATTCTAACTCAGTATGAAAAAGAAAGAAAAATTTTTTATCCGTCCAAGGTCAGATGATCAAAGGTATGAAGAATCACCTGGAATCCTAATCTCATAGGCACTTTCGATTGCTGAGAAACATAAAATGAAGAAAAGATGCAAAATGAGGGCAAGTCAGGGAGCATTTGTGAGAGCAGAAGTTAGGAAACATCAGGATGGGTCCCAATTTTTGGTTAGGTAAGAGACGAGCAGAAAGAGACCACCAACACACATCCCAGGCCTCAGTTCATGCATGGGCTCTTGCTTGGTTTGGGGACATGGGAGAACTGGGAAGAAGACAAGAAGAGAACGGTCCCCGTTGGCCATGACCAGCCTGGGCCTCGACTGAGCTCCCGTTCTCAGGTCTGGACTGGCCCAGCCCCAGCTGTTGCAGGCATCTGGGAAATGAACCAGCAGATGGGAGCTCTATCTGTAAACCTCTCTCTCTCTCTGCCTTTCAAGTAAAATTTATATATAAATAACATAAAAATAAAAACCCTGCCTGGATAAAAACAGAGAGAGTCTCATTCTCAGACCCTCTCCAATTTAGAGACTGTAACAAAGACAGGGCCACACACGACAAGTTCCATCAGGTGCTGTTTTCAGATGGAAAACAAAATCTATCCATGAATGAAATGATGTTATTTCACGCCGCAAGAACAGAGATCAGCAAACTACAGCCAAGGGCCAAATCAGGCCACCGCCTGCTTTCGCAGATACAGTGCTGCAGGAAGGCAGCCACCCCACGTGCTCATGAATTATCTACGGCTGCAGCTGAGTATTTGCAGATGGCCCAAAACACCCAAAATATTTACTCTCTGGCCCTTGACAGAACAAGTGTGTTGACTGCAGCTCTAGAGAGTGAAAGTTAAGCTCCAGCTCACTGGGGGACTTCAAGTCTTACATATAGGTCCTGCTAAGAAAATGGATGGTGACAGGCCTGGGCCTTAATATATTTTAATAACTAATTATTTTAATAATTTTCATTAATATATTTTTATCCCCAGATGATAACCAAGTGCAGCTAGGGAGCCATTGGTGGACAGGGAATTCAACCTTTATAAACGGCTTCCTAAGTGCTATATAAAGATGCTAGGTTTAACAATTCTAGGCTGGGGGCTGGTGTTGTAGTGTAGCAGGTTAAGCCACCACCTGCATCACCAGCACACCATATGGGCACCAGTTCAAGTCCTGGCTGCTCCACTTCCAATCCAGCTCCCTGCTAATGTGCCTGGGAAAGCAGCAGAAGACGGCCCAAATGCTTGGCCCCTGCACCCACGTGGGAGACCTGGAAGAAGCTCATGGCTTTGGCCTTGCCCAGCCCTGGCCACTGCAGCCATTTAGGAAGTGACCCAACAGATGGAATCCCTCTCCTTCTCTCCATGCCTGCCCCCTGTAACTATGCCTTTCAAATAAATAAAATAAATCTTAAAAAAAAATTAAAAACCTCTAGGCTGACTTTTCCCATCACCCAACAAACTTTTGATCATCGTACCCAAATGCTGGGTTTTGCTCTTCTATAAAACAATCCTATGGGCCAGCACTGTGGTGTAGCCAGTAAAGCCACCACCTGCAGAGCCAGCATCCCATATGGGTGCCAGTTTGAGTCCCGGCTGCTCCACTTCCTATCCAGCTCTCTGCCGTGGCCTGGGAAAACAGTGAAAGATGACCTGAGTCCTTGGGCCCCTACACCTGTGTAGGAGACCCAGAAGAAGCTCCTGGCTCCTGGCTCCGGCCTTTGTGGCCATCTGGGGAGTGAACCCAGCGGGTGGAAGACCTCTTTCTCTCTGTCTCTCCTTCTCTCTCTGTGTAACTCCGACTTTCAAATAAATTAAAAAAATCTTTTAAAAAGTTATAAAACATAATCCTATAGAAGCGTAAGAGAGTTACGCTTAGAATAAAAAGCTCCTCTGAGAAAAAAAAAAAAAAAAAAACAGGCAAGAGTGACCTGCACTGCAGCTCCCTTCATCAGGGCCGAGTGAGCCGACTGAAGTCACTTCCCTCACCTCTGTGAAACATTTCTGGGAGAGCTTTCCCAGTGGAGAAGTGCCCAAAACAAGTCACGGACTTGCCTTAAGCTCAGAGGAGGGACAGGACAGAAGGTAAGTCACCATACTCCTGGGTGAATCCGACATCTTACTTACATTTAAATACCCTCCCAAGCACACATGTTCGTGGGGTGTTCAGAAAGTTCACGGAAAATGCATATTATGAAAAAACTATGCATGGAGTTCAAAACTTTTTGTACCAAAATAAACTTATCTTTCAATTTCCTTATCCACAAACTTTCTGAAGTGCACTTGTATGTATGCTTTGTGATGGCAAAGAACACACACACACACACACACACACACAGAGGCAGGTGTTTCGCCTAGCAGGTAACACACTGGTTAAGATTCCTAATCCCCTATCAGGGTAACTGGGTTCAATCCCCAGTTCTGCTCCTGCCTTCAGCTTCTTGCTAATGCAAACCCAGGAAGCCAGTGGGTGATGGCTCAAATAATTGGGTCCTGCCACCCACGAGGGAGACCTGAATTGAGAACCTGGGGCTCAGTTCCAGCCCCATCCAGCCTGGGCTGCTGCAGGTCTTTGGTGGCAGATGGGAGCTCTCTTTCTAATTCCCACCTCTCAAGGGAAAAAACAGAAAGCACACGCACTGTTTCCTCTGGCCTGGTGCTAGCCTGCTCTACCTTATGGTTAGTTACTGTCTCAGCAAACCCTGGCCCTGGCAGGGAGTGTGGTGGCTGCAGTGTCTGGTTCTCCCCTTTGCTCTCTCCGCTTCATCAATTTACTTTCCCCTCAGAGGGGTCTTAATGAATGAGCTATAGGAATGATGAAGCATACACGTGGAGCTGAGTCGTCCCGTATTACCAATGTCAAGTCAGAAACCATGGGCACTTCCTGAGATACAAATATACACAGGATATTGTGGGGACACAGACGGCCGTATCCCTGCAGTCCCTGAGTGTGGAGGGATGATGGTTTGGCGAGCAGCTGCAAATATAAAAGCCAACCTTTGAGAGATTTAAATAATAAATCATGGCTCCCTGAGCTCATTTCTACAGAGGAGCCGGGTGTAGGTAAAAATGGAGAGGCTGAAGCAACCGGAGGTTGCCCTGCTCTCAAGGGGCGTGGACAGCCGGGGCAGGATGGCTGGGAACACCTCGGTGCCCGAAGGGGCTGTCCTGGAGGTAAGCAGAAGACCTCAGGAGGGGGGG